TTCAATAGAAACAAATACACAATGTAGAGCAGAAAAAGTTTACTTTTAAGAAATTTTTGACTAAAGAATCTTTAGAGAAACTGTTATTGTCAGAATATAAAGTTGCAAAATTGCTAACAAATTAAAAAAATTTAATTATGTATTTGTGTGCTCAAAGAATAATCTCTTTTTACAAAAATGTTTAAAAGATGTTTATATATAATGTACAATCCGTATTTCGGGAAAATTTAAATCTTAAATCTGAGATCGAATTTACGCATAATATTCTCTCACGTCTCATAAAATTACAAATTTCATATCGTCATTACTTGTCATAAATGGAAAATCTTATAAAAATGTTCACGATGTTTGTTAATGATAACACAATTTTCTTCATTGTTAACACCATTGTTTCAACTCGTAGCGACTCACCGCTATTAAAGAGGTACTTTTAGATCGTATAGTCTTTCTATTCTTTATTCTTTACTCTTTCTGTTCTTTATTCCCTATCTTTTTTTACTTCGATGCCTTTTTTCATTGTCCCCTTTATTAACTATCATAATCACGGTAGGCATCCCGTAGATCTATCATTGTCGTGTATAAATCCATCACCGACACAAGCTCCGTTCGTAGGGTTCAAGGCTTCCTTCGTATACATGCCGCATATATCTTTAAGAAAATGAGAAAGCCGCAGGTGTGAGTTGGCGTAGACGTAAATAGAGTATAATTACGGGTCGCGGTAAATCAGTGGGAATTAGCATTCTCGTGATGTAGGAACCTTGTTCGGCACAATTAATGATCACTTTGAGCTGTCGATGCGTATAGTGTAAGAGTCTTAATCAGTAAACTCCAATATGTTTCATCTATAATAATGAACCCATTAACGGCGCAGATAAGCTGTATTGAACATTTAAATGCGTCTTGTTCTTACTTTGCAGGTTCTACGAAGTCATTCTTTTTATGCGAATCACGATGTAATTACAATATAATCGACAATAAGGCGAGATTTCACCGAATATTTTCCCTACATGGAAAATGTGATTAAACGTACGTCACCGTCGTGAATCAGTTTAGGATTTTATCCAATGACTTTTTGCTTCTTATTTCATAACGTATTGACTGCTCAAGGCTGCACTCCCATAAAGATTATTTTCAAATATCATAAATAATAGAAACATTACTCGTATCTCAGACACGCGAGAAGAACAGCTGTCTTATTATTTTTAGAATTGGTTTTTATAATGATTATTCCGTTAAAAAAAATCTTACAAAATAACAAAAACACGCTAAGTATATTTTAAAAAATATCAACAATTATATAGAACAAAAATAAATATTTAAAAAATCTATTAATTAAAACACATATATAGAAAATATTTTTAGAAGTGTTTTCCAAAATTATTTGATCAGAAGTAAATATAAGGCCAATTGGCAAAATGAATGCGAGTATTAGTTTTATAATTGGCGCTAAGCTGAGGTAATAATTACATCACCAGTACGTTAGGATTAAATTTGCATAGATTACTCGTTACGCGGTGTACGTGCAGTGTTTTCTTATGGAGCATCAAACCAAACATTAGTTTCGGGACTGACATCACTTAAGAGACCGTCGCCATTTACAGATTACGAAATACTGCACGCACGTACATAATGCATCAGGTGCCTGCAAACGGGGCTGCTACTCCTTGCTTTCAATGCCAAGATCGAACGAC